GCCACCCGCAAGCGCGGGAGCGCCGCGGTGCGCCGGGCGGTCGCGTCCCTGCCCGCCGGCTTCGCCGCAGCCCCCCTGACCGCCGGGGCGGCGGACCCAGACCCGGCCGCCTCCCTGCGCCTGCCCAGTGCCAGCCTCGTCCCGCCGACCGAGCCACGGCTGCGACCCCTGTGTGGCGGGGCCATTGTGGTGCACGCCGGCGCCGGGGAGCGTGGCGGGGGCGCCGCGGCGACGTTGCCAGAGGTCGATCTCGCGGGCACGGAGTCCGCCGACCCGCAGGCGCCGGCCCCGCACGCGAGCCTGCAGCTGCCCGACGGCTTCCTGCGCGCCGCGCAGACGGACGGGGCCGCCTCGCTCTGGTGGTGGGTGCGCGCCGATGCGCCGGTCTCTGCGCCGGCCGCCGTGCGCGTGCTGCCGGCGGGCCACGGCGCCGCCCCGGCGCCCAACCAGGGCGCGCCGGCGCGGGGTCCTCCGGGCGCCGCGGCCGCCGCGCCGCTGGCGCTGGACCTGGGCCTGGAGTGGGAGGCGGACGACTGCGCGCGGAGCGCCGTGGCGAGCTGTGCGCTGCGCGTGGCGCCGCCCTTCGAGGTGGAATGGAGCGCGCGCGAGGTCCCCGGGCGACGGGAGGAGGGCGGCCGCCTGCTGCTCGGCGCCGCGCTGCGCTGTGCCGCAGGGAACGCCGTGGAGGTCACCGGCCTGGCGCTGAGCCCCCAGCCGGGGGCGCGCCTGGAGGAGGGGTGCGAGGAAGAGGCGGGGGACCTGGAGACGGGAGACAGGGAGGCGCAGGGTGACCGAGCAGGGGTCCGGGCGCGGCTGGAGCACGGGCAGACCCTGCACTGCAGCTGGCTGCTGCGGCTGGACCCCGGCGAGGGCGGGCGCGCAGGGTTGGCGGCACGCCTGCGCCAGGCCGCGCGTGCCCGGCCCTGCGAGCTGGCCGTGGCGTACGAGATGCGCGCCGCGCCGCCCGCCGCGGCCGCCGCCCGCGGCTGGGACGAGGCGGTGCGGGCTCTGCTGCCGGGAGACGATGGTGAGGCGTGTGTGGCGCTGGACGCCGGCGACGGGGAGGTGCAGGCGTGCACCTTCCGTCACGCCTGCACGCTGGAGCTGGCCCCCTCCGAGCATGCCAGCCCGGGTGCGTGCGTGAATGCAGGGCTGGGGATGGAGTGGGAGTGGCATGCGTCATGGGGAGGTCCCTTGGCAGCTCCAGGGGCCGCCCTGGTACATGGACCGCTGCGCTGCTCATGCGCCGTCCCAGCCAGCCGTCCTGTGAGTACGAAATATTGCACCCCGACCGGCATCCCGCAGGCGCCACGATCCAGTCGCGGCTGCTGGGCCCGATGTCGGCCTGCGTCGGCCAGCCCCTCACCCTGTGCTGGCGGCTGGAGCGGGGCCCCGGGGCTGCAGACGGCAAAGACTCCGTGCTGCACTACGAGGTCGCCGCGCAGGTGGGTCGGAGAATTTCCTACTCGGAACAGGGGGTAGAAGCACGAGGCAGTGCGGGGCGCCGTCATGGCCATTGCTCCAGTCACGGCAGCCTGCAGCTGTCTGTGCTCTCGTGTGCCGACGCCACAGAAATTCAGAGTCCATGCTGATACCAATCTGCTGCTTGCCCGACTCCAACATGGACCTTCTTCACACATTGCTTTGCTCCCCCGCACACGCAAAATCAGGGCCCAGGCTGGTCGCCAGGGTCAGCGCGGAGCGGGAGCGTGCGCTTGGGCGGCCGCCCCGGGTCGATAGCGACAGTGGAGGCCGGCTGGGTGCCCCTCCTCCCGGGCAGCTTTGCTGCACCGCGGCTGACGATTCAGGGCGTGCACTGCCAGGTAAGGGGTGAGGAGGTCAACAGACCTGGGCCTGGACGATGCAAGGCGTGGCTGTCGGCGTGAACAATGGGTGTGCTTGGTCAAGCTTGTTGTTGGCAGGGATCCTTAGCCAACTTCCTCACTCTTGATGCACAGGAGGCGCTGGATGGAGATCAAGGTGACAACATGATTGAAGTGGCCATGGGATCCTGAGGCGCGGCTGCACCAGCTGGGTCACAAACCCTGGCAGTGCTGCTGCTAGGCATCGGTCGACCCCACCATGCACGTGCTCGCGCGCCCTGAGCCCCATAGCGGATCGCAAGACTCTCACGCCATGTATGCTTCCAGAGCAACAAACGCGAGAAGCCATGGCTTTTACATCGGCCTAGAATGTCAGCTGCCGCCTTGCGATGCATCCTCGAGCGTGCCTTGGATACGCACGGGTCAGCATCGCAGCATAGTCAGAAGCTCGTCACGGATCTCCGAGGCATGTAGGCATGGCACGGTTCGGCCTGTGAGTTGCACACTCGTCATGAATTCTACCCAAGATGTCCTGCAGCGCCTGGAGGCCCGCATCGGCAACTTCAGCAGCAGGCCATTGGTGCGGCGCTGTCGGGAACAGGACCTGGGGTCTCGGAATGCAACATTGTCCTCCATAGTCCATGCACGAGAAGGTCGGTGTGCCTCATCCTCTCCTGGACTGCACAATGACACCTTCACATCACAGGTGCCTGCCCCTAGACCATTGGTGCTCGTCGTTAGTGGACCCAGTGGGGTCGGCAAGGATGCAGTGCTCAACACATTCCAGAAGGCCAACCCAGACCTCCATTTCATTGTCACAGCCACCACGAGGTCAGATGCCTTGGCTAGAGGCTGTGCAGAAGGGCGAATGGGCTGGAAATTGTATGTATATAGGGGCTGAACATGTGAGCAATGCCATGTAAGGTGTCACCCTGTGCACAAACAAGTCTCCTCCCCTCCTCAGGAAGCCTCGCCCTGGCGAGGTGGACGGTGTGGACTATCACTTTGTGTCCGAGGCGCAGTTTGAGACCTGGATCAAGGAGGGCCAACTGCTGGAACATGCGCTCGTCTATGGCGATTACAAAGGAATCCCTCGACCCCAGGCGAGACCCTCTGGGCGGTTGTTCAGCAGATGCCCTGGGGCCGATCTCAGGGTAAAATCTACATACAATGTGAAAATTGCTCTCTATTGTCAGGTGGAAGCCGCAATTGCTGCTGGAAAGGATGTCATCCTCAGAATTGATGTCCAAGGCGCAGCCACTGTTCGCTCCATGCTGCCGGGAGTGGTCTCCGTCTTCCTTGTGAGCAGGGGGTACATGGGGATCAGCCTCCCTGATGCTTCTGAATATGATTTTGGGGATAGGGGATTGCTTGCTTTGTGGCTCGATGGTCCTGCAATTTGTGGGCTCATTTCGACTATCTGACCAGAACCCCCTTGTCCCACGTGCTCACTACCCAACTTCAGGTTGCTGAGACAGAAAAGAGTCTAGTACAACGACTCATTGCGAGGAAGACTGATGAGCTGGTGCGCAGTGCTATGTCTGGATGTTGATGAAGCACTGGTTTTGTGCTTTTTTGTAATTTCCACAGAGACCAGGGCCTTCCTTTCAGTTGCCCTTTCTCCCCACACATCCCCACAAATCCAACCTCTCTGCAGGAGAGTCTCGTCAAGCGAGTCCAGACTGCCAAGGCCGAGCTCGAGCGTGCACAAGAGTTCGATTATGGTAAGATTGCTTGGGAAAGCTGTAGGGTGGGCCTGTATGCACAGAGTCTTTGCGACTCTGAGGCCTCGTTCAAGTTTGTGTCCCCACTGTACAACTCGCAGTGGTGGTTAACGCCGATGGGGCAATGGAGAGGACGGTGGCGCACATACAGGCCATCCTTGAGGCAGAGAAGGCAAAAGTACGGCCACACACCAAATGAGGTTCTGTGTGTGTATGAGTGACCCCTGTGGAGGTCGCTTGCACACCCTATCAGTTGCAAGCGCATTCATGCCATTTGCGACTGCCCTGGGGACTGATGGTGGACCATTCGGTGGCTCAAAGGTGTAGGCCATTGCAGCCCCTCCCTGAAGCAGCTAATGTGGCTCGGCAGAGCTGCGCTTGGCAAGCAATGTTTGCTTCTTCACCCCTGACTGCGACTCCCTCCGGAGACGCTTTTTCTCGATGTAACGGAGTTGACCAAGCCAATACAATCTAGAAAAACATGCATGAGCCGGAGTCATGCCTGGAGAAGCATAGATGTTCATGAAATGGTGTATCAAGAGGGAAGAAGTTTTGAGTAAAGCATTCACCAGGCAATGAACACTTTGTAGGAGCATCCTTCCCCTATCTCAATTCCTCTTGGACTCGTAAAACTTTGGGGGTGGGGAGATAGAGATGCAGAATTGTCAGCGCTGCTGCTCATCTGTTGGTACAAAAATGTAGCCTCCCGAGGCACGATCTTATGGTGTGCAGGGCCGCAGGCTACATGTAGCACACAGGCAACTGAAGTCAGGCACGGCAACGGCTCGGCCAGGCATGGCCTCCACCCCGACCACCAACTCACCAGCTCAAAGTTGAAATCGCCCTCCTGTAGACTCGCCAGATGGTCCAAGAACTTCTTCTGCTGCGCTTCTGCATGATTGGGGGATTATATTTGGAAGTTGGTGGACAGCTATGTCATTCTTTGCACCTTCCAGCACGTTGTTCGGACCATGGTTGCAGATTGGGCACTCTGTCACGACTCCAGCTGCTCTGCCTCCCCAAGCAGTGGCATTTCATTGATCACTCCATGCTCATCATCTATCAAACCAGCCACTCACCCCTGTTCTCCCAGCACAACTCCTTGTTGGTCATGATGTCTCCGTCCTCTACCTCCAACTCCGCTGTGGAGAAGGACACCTTGCCGAATCCAGGCTCGAATCCCATGACCATCACCCAGACCATCTCTCCCACGGAAAACACCTCCTGCACACCCGATGATAGAGCAGGGATTCGTGTATGAAATGGGAAGGGATCCTGTGGGTCAGAACATTGTCTGTCGAGGGCCAGCGCTCCATTGCCTACCATGAGCCACCCCCTCCTGATTGTGGCCAGGTTTAACCACCACGAGAGACCACTGCATGCACTCACCGACACGTCTGGGACATGCTTGCGAGACACGTTGCTGATGTGGAGCAGCCCCGTCTCCATGGTGTCCTTGATGCCAATGAAGACCCCATTCCGGTCTATGCGGCGCACCATCCCCTCCACCAGGTGTCCGACCTGAGCAGGGGGTGATCAGTCGGGGGTCAAAGGTAGATGGACCTCGCAATGCTATGAAGTCTTCAATAGGCGTAATCTAGAGACTCTTTCTGCACGGCCACCTTCACATCCAGCCCCAGCCACGCATAGATTAGATCATGCCCCCCTTGGTCCCAAAAACACTGTTTCATCAGCGAAGCAAAGCAAAGGAGACGCATCGCTCACATGGAATTTACGCATGATGGAGTTGCTCAGGCCTCGCGACACAGAGGCTACCAGTTTCTGGCTACGCATGTCCACCTCAATCACAGCCACCTCGATGTCCTTGCCCAGATATCTCTCCCGGAGCTCCTGTAAGGTTGTGGTGTTGGTGGATGTGATCAGCTCTGGGATGTAAGCTTGGAGGAGGGTCCCGGCAGGGAGCAAAACATACAGGGAGACATGCGTCCTCTTGCCAGTTCTACACGCCCCGTGAGGCTGCAGCCAGAGCTTTGGACGCTGCTGGCTCCTCCATACGATTACTCTCAGACACCTGTTCCCTTCTCCCCTCTGCACTGGTCCACACCTCTTCACTATATCGCAGGTCCCTGTCCTTGTGCAGTTGGGAGTAGGGGACAAAGATGGGCAGGCCGCAGACCCTGCTGACGAGGCCGCCGCCATTCACGCCCTCGACACGCATCATCACGTTCTCCCGGTCCTGCAAAGGAGGATGCATGGGAGGCGTCACGGAGGAGGACTGAGGAGTGAGACGCTCCCAAATCCATGGAGTTATGACTGGCACGGGGCATGACCTGCCAAAGCAGCACCTCCTGGGCCACACTGGGGAGTGTGACTCCACACCTTCTCCGCACCTCACGGTTGCAGCTCTGCAGCTGCCAGCCCCGGTGCCACATGGTCCTCCGATCGTGGAGGAAGGCTGACAGCAAGGGGCCCGCAGTGTTGTTTGGGTTGCCGGTCACGGCCTCGGGCGTGGGCAGGGCCTTGACCTGGAAGGGACGGATCAATCCAACCGGGACCAGGGGCCGCGATAGACCCTGCAGGCAAGGAAAGATGACACGTTCAAATTCCTTGCAAGCATAGGATGTGAAGTGACAGTCCGCAAAGGCCCCAGGAAAGCAGTCAGCTATATTGCATACAAAGCCGAGCAAGGGCAAGACCCCGGGACCAGCTGATCCCCAGTGCCATGCCAAATGTAATCCCGGAGTCACTCTCTGGGCCAATCCCAGCAACACAGCCTCCTCACCTGGCACTCCCGCACCTCTGCGGTATCCCTGACGGCAAGCGGCCCGTCGGTTATTGGCATCCATCTGCAAGAACAGGACAGCAGCCCATTAATTTGACACGTGCTGGACTGCTGCAAAGCCACGCCCACTGCTCCCCACCTCCATGCATCTACCCCAGGCCGCCGGCATCAACCTCGTCGCCCCACCCAAGCACTCCCAACCGCTCAGCGCACCCATGCCTGTGGCGCAGGTTGTCCGTGGGGGTGTTGTGGGCCTCGAGAATCTCAACCCTGGCCCCCTTCCTGGTAGATACCACCACTCGCCCCAGGACCGTCTGTCCCAGCCACAGCCCGTTGTAGAGCTCCAGGTCGGTTGGCCGCCTCTCGCCCTTGTTGTTCCTGGGTGCAGCCTGCAGGCGCATGCACACATGCGATGTGGGGCATGACCAAGCTTGGCACCGGACACCCAGAGCTCAGGCGGGCGGCCTCGTGCCCCACGCACCTTGCGATGGTAGGGCGCTGGGGCATGGGGTTTTGCCGGTTGATACACCTCCGCCTTGGAGGGCTCAGCCAGAACCGCCACGACTCGGAGGCATGTGGATCTTTGCATGGGCTTGTGAGTGCCTGCGCGAAATGCCCGACCGACATTCGTCCCGTGCGGCAAGGTTTCCGAGCCCCGGCCCCACGTTCCGACGGGCGAAGATACCGTCTTTGCAAACATTCCGAGCACGACACCGTTTGCGAGGACGGATATTCAGGCGGTGCACATATTCAAACTTCTAATATCAATCACTTCTCGATGGCCCAAAATCCATGCAGATGCGCACCACTCCACCCACGGCATGCAATTTCTATCCACTCGCGCGTTCCGGAGATTGGAAAGCGCGCCAGCTTTCTCCGTGCAGCCCTGGGGCGATAGTGCTGCCGCGTATAACATGGCGTGGGCATCACGCCGTCATTTCAAGCTGGGCTGCGGTGAGGGGGCCGAGCATTCCAGGGTCAGGCAAGGCAGTGCCGTCAGGGTCAGCGCCGGCTGCTGGGGGCGGCCGCGGTGGATGGGAAGGTGGGCATGAGCGCCGTGTCCTTGGGCAGGGGATGCTCCTTGAACCAGGGATGCTGCAGCGCCTCGGCGGCAGATATCCGCCTCTCCTGCGGGGGTGGTGGTGGTGGTGGGAATCGATGGTGAAAGGGCTCGGTGCAGTGGCAATGGGAAGCCACCTGACTCAGCTATGTTCGCAGAGACTGGGCTATGGCGCATGCAAATCCTCAGCCAAATGGACGCCCACCCCTGCGAACGCATACATAATGTGCATGCGTGACTCGGGCCCCCAAACAAAACCCCTTGGCTCACTGGGCACAGGGAGAGCAGGGAGGAGAGGAGGTCGAACCCTGCTTCGCTCAGCGTGGGCCGCCCATCAAACACCGGACCCGGGGGCGGGAAGGCGGCTCGCAGCGTGTTCTTCCTCTCCTGCCTGAAGTTGAACTTGCGGAAGTTGGGCAGGCGGTCCAGCCCCGGCCAGGTCTCCTCGGTGGGCGTGCCCAGCAGGCCAAAGATCTTGCCCAGCTGGTCGATCTCGCCCTTGCCAGGGAACAGCGGCTCCCGCGTGAGCAGCTCAGCCATGATGCAGCCCACGCTCCACACATCCACCGCCGTCGAGTAGTGCTTGGCACCTGTTTGGGTATTTCGGTCGGGGGAGGAGGGATGAGGTCACGGTGAAGGGGCGGAGGGGGTGGGGCACGTGTGAATGTCAACAGCATGGTGGCAGTCGACAGGCTGGCTTGAAAGCGGGGCTCTTTGGAGCCAGGGGCGTGAACCTGTCCCGGTCAATCTACCTGCTTTGCGCTTCTCCATCCTCCCTCATCTTTCACTCACAGCTGGGACGTCTACTCCCCCCCCGCCCTGATACACACACAAATAACTCGCCCCCAAACACACCTAGGAGGAGCTCTGGGGCGCGGTACCACAGGGTGACCACCATGTGGGTGTAGGGTTTGAGGGGGGAGCCGTACTGGCGCGCCAGCCCAAAGTCGCAGACCTTGAGCACGCCCTGATTGGTGTACAGGATGTTGGAGGTCTTGAGGTCGCGGTGCAGCACCCAGTTGTCGTGCAGGTAGGCCACGCCCGCCAGCAGCGCTGTCATCAGCGTCTTGGCCTCGGCGGGGGAGAAGGGCTGGCGCAGGCGCCGGCGCATGACCCCCGCCAGGTCGTGGTCGCCGTACTCCATGACCATGAACACCGAGTCCAGGCTGGACCCCACCACCACCTCCGACACGTTGACGATGTTGGGGTGGCGCAGGGACAGCAGGATGTTGATCTCCCGCAGCGCGGTCAGCGGGAAGCCGTCGCGCTCCTTGTCCAGCTTCACGCGCTTCAGCGCGCAGATCTCGCCCGTCTCGCTGTTGCGCGCTCGGTACACCACGCCATAGGTCCCCTCGCTGATGTGGTTCAGCTTCTCGTACAGGTCCACGCTGCGGCACTCCGCCGCGCTGGCGCGCCCCAGGAAAGGGCGACCGGGGCGGAAGCCCGGTGGCGAGGCAGGGGGGGGTTCGGAGCCGGGGCCCGAGGCGGCCGGGCCAGAGGAGGCGGGGTCGCCACCCTCCGGACCCGCGCCCGGCGAGGCGGGGTCGAGCTCGGACGCGGGCCTGCCGCCGGCCCTGCCGACCATGCGCTCGGCGCCCGCCGCCCGGCCGGGCACCGGCGGGGCCTCGCCCCAGCGGCCGCGCCCGGCGGCGGGGCCCTCGGCGTCCGACTCCAACATGGAGGGCTGGGCCGGGTGGGGGCTGCCCTCACGCCGGATGTGTGCGGCCTCCTCGGGGGAGGAGAGGGAGGGCGAGGGCTTGAAGAAGAACTCGCTGACCCCGCTGGCCTCCTCCAGCCCCGAGGCGGCGGCCTGCCGCTCCGCAAAGGCCTCCACCTCCGCCTGGGCGATGGAGGCCGCGCTGGCGGCGGACCCGGGGGCGGAGCGAGGGGCGAGGCTGACGGGACCCGCCGTGGTGGCCCCCTGCCACACGATGGGGGAGTGCTTGCGCTTGGCGGGCGGGGAGCGCGTGCCTGCGTCCGGCTCGCCCTCAGGGGAGGGGCTGCGCCAGGCGGCGCGCCTTGGCGGGGTGTCCCCTGAGGTGCTGGCGGGCATGCCGGCGGGCATGCGCACTCGCTCCTCCGCGGCCCTCTTCTCTCGGGCGAGGCGCTGTGCCTCGGCCAGGATGGGGTTGGAGGGAACCCGAGCGGGCCGGCGGCTGTCCTCCGTCTGGGCACGGGAGCGAGGTGGAGAGGAGGAAGGCGTGAGTCCAGGGACCATGGGCGCAAGAGCATGCATGTGGGGTGTCTGGCACGCAAGGGGGGGAGGTGGGTGAGGTGCCCACGCCCCTGGGCAGTGCCCGCGGCGGCCCCTCTGCTCCGAGGGCGGTGCCCATCTCACCCTGGAAGCGGGCCGCTCCCTGCTGCCACTCCGATCCCTCCTGTACACCCTATCCCGGTCCCTCCTGTCCTTATCCGAGTTATAGGTCGGCCTGCTTGCGAGGATGCGTGGGGAAGATCGATGAATGCCCTCCCTGCACTGGTAAAACTGTGGGTGTCCCAGTCCCGCGGCGCAGCTCATCAGAGGACCCCAGTTGTAGATAGGCCGCAACAGAATGCGCACTCGCCTTGGGGGCCTCGCCGGGGGCCGGCGATCTGAGCTCATGCTGATGTTGGAGGGTAGACTGGCGACAGGGCTCAGTCGGGGCTCCCCCTTCCTGGCAAGAGCCCTGCGGCCATTCAATGTCGGCTCGGAAAAAACCTGTAAACCGTCTTTCAGATTGAATTGTTCCAATGCATGGCCCTGGGATGAAGTGTTCAGGACTCGACCTGCTGCTTCCGTGGCAGAACTGGTAGCACCTTCAGTGCACGGTACCACGGGCCCTTGCTGCCATCGCCCCACCACCTCCACTCCAATCCGGCCCCAAGGCCATTCCCCCCTCCAGAGAGGTACCCAGGTTGATGTCGTAGAGCGACAGGGGCATCGCACCAGGTCACTCCCCCTGCAAATACCCCTGTCCTATGTACCTGTGACCCGCCCTGCCCAAAACCTTCTCGGCAGAGCCGTTCCGGGGCATCGGATCATGACGCTGGGATCCGATGACAGCCTCTACCCCATAGCCGTACTCATGTGAGCTGGATGTCAATGGCGTGCCAAGGCTGGCGACAGTCGCATCCACGCCCCTGCGGGGCCTGGATCGCTGCCCATCACCCCCTGCCCCAAACCCCCTCCACCCCGACCCCTGCAGCGACGAGCTCCGCAATGAGGACCCTGCCCTGCGCCTCAACTCGGTGCGAAGGCTGCGCACCATCGCGCTGGCCCTGGGCGAGGAGCGCACCCGCCGGGAGCTCATCCCTTTCCTGAACGAGAACTCGGATGACGAGGACGAGATCCTGCTGGCCATGGCCGCGGAGCTGGGCGGATTCGTGAGCCTGGTTGGGGGCCCGGAGCACGCTCAGGTGCTGCTGCTGCCGCTGGAGACACTGGCCACCGTGGACGAGACGGTGGTGCGCGACAGGGCGGCCGAGTCGCTCATCGCTGTGGCCTCAGCCATGCCCGTCCCCGCCCTCGTGGAGTTTTTCGTGCCAGCTCTGCAGGTGAGGCATGTTTGGGCTGGGCAGGAATGGGGCTTCCCCAGGGGTGGCCTGCTCCCTGTAGGGAGTCCCACCTTGCTGAGGAGACATGTGGGGTGCACTCTCACCGCTTACAGATGGGGTGCAAATTGACAACGGGGCCAAGAGTGTTCCTGGCGGATCACGCCCCTTGGAATGGCAGCTCAGGCCCAGGGCCTGACTGCCTGCCGAGGCTGTATGGCCACCCTGCACCGCCCAGCCCGCTCAAGTATCCAGAACCCCTCTCGACGACCTCCGCCACCCTTTCTGCAGCGCCTGGCCGGCAAGGAGTGGACAGCCCGCGTCTCGGCCACGCGCCTCTTCACCCCCACCTATGCGCGGTGCCCGCCGGAGCACCGCCCCGACCTGCTTCGCGCATTCCTCGCCCTGACCAAGGACGAGACGCCGATGGTGCGTCGCGCGGCGGCCCAGGCCCTGGGAGACTTTGCGCAGGTGGTGGAACCGGAGCCCCTCAGCGCCGAGCTGCTCCCCGCCTTCCTCCAACTCACCCGCGACGGTGAGAGCTCTGGGATGCTGGCAGGGGAGAAGTCATGCCTTGGGGTTCGGCCATACGCGCCAGGGAGCGGTAGGGGTACGAGGGAGTGCGCGGCTGCGTGCCAGGCTGGGTGAGTAGGGACCCCCCTCTGCGACGCACCCAGGCCCCGCCCTTCCCACCCCCAACCCCGCAGACCAGGACTCGGTGCGACTGATCGCGGTTGAGGCCTGTGGCCCCCTGGCCAAGGTGCTGCCGCGGGAAGCCGTGTACGAGCACGTGCTCCCCGTCCTCCAACACTTTGCGCTGGTGAGGCTGTGTGGGTGTGGGGTGGGCGGGGATGCGGCGTGGCGGTGTTCCTGGGCTGTCCTGCCAGAGTCCAGGGTCACCTCCACCGCCGGCAAGTACCCCTGCCTGTCCCTGCATCGTCTCCATCGCCGCGCCCCATGCTCTCTCCCTCGCCACCTCGCAGGACAAGTCGTGGCGCGTGCGGTACAACGTGGCGCAGCAGCTCCCTGCCCTGGCCGAGGTGCTGGGGGGCGAGGCGACGCGCGCCGAGCTGCTCCCCGCCTTTGTCCGCCTGCTCCGCGATGGCGAGGCGGAGGCGCGCGCCGCGGCGGCCGCCCGCGTCGCGACCGTGGCGCGTCTGCTCCCCGCGCAAGAAGTGCTGGACCAGCTGCTGCCGCCGGTGAAGGAGCTGGCGGGGGACGGCAACCAGTACGTCCGCGCTGCCCTGGCCTCCGTGGTCCTGGAGCTCGCGCCCGTCGTCGGCAAGGCGAGTGGAGACATACCCCTGGGAGGCAGGGAGTGCAGCGACGTGTCGGTGCCCATGTAGTCTCCCGCCCCCAAAAGTGAATGTCCAATCCCCCAGCCCCCCAACCCATCCCCCCACTGCCCCAGGCGGCCACCATCGAGCACCTGCTCCCCGTCTTCCTCAGCTTGCTCAAGGACGAGTGGGCCGAGGCGCGGCTGAACATCATCGGCAAGCTGGACCAGGTCAACCAGGTCATCGGCGTGGACCTGCTGGCACAGAGTCTGCTGCCCGCCATCAAGGAGCTGGCAGAGGTACGAGGGTGTGTTGCTGCGAGTGGTGGGGGGACTGCAGGGGGTGCATGGGCGTGCCCTCGCGTGAGGAGGAGGAGTGATCAGCACGGGGAAGGTAGTGAGGCGCCGCGTGGCAACATGGCGCACTGATCGATGCGGCGAGGCAGAGCCCGCCCACGGCAAGGTCCCTGCCTGCTCAGGCGCCTGCATGGGATGTCCACGCTTGGGCTGCAAATGCCCAGAGGCCAGCGCTGCATCAGCCACGGAGCACAGCGATGCCTGTGCCTCCGCGGGGCCGCCACCGGCCAGCCAGCCTGGGCACGCTGCCACCATGCCCACCCAGCTCCCTGATTCAAAAACCCACACATCCACCCAAACACCGGCTTGCAGGACCGCAACTGGCGCGTCCGGCTGGCCATCATTTCGCACATCCCGCTGCTAGCCGGCCAGCTGGGCGCCGACTTTTTCGAGCAGAAGCTGGGGCAGCAGTGCATGCGCTGGTTGCAGGTGTGCTGGTGTGTTGATGGTGGGGGGGAGGGCAGAGCAAGGAGTGTTGGGAGGGGTCCAGAGCGCGGGGTCCTCGTAGGACCGGGCAGCTGGAGAGCTCGACAGAGACTTGGAATGGATCCAGGTTCCGGCCCCGGCCCGGCCCGGCATGCGTTTAGTAAGGGTGTTCCAGGCTTTTCGCCCGCTAGGCAGCATGCCCTGTGATCTTCACGACCCTGGCGCCGAGCCCCTCCCTGTGTCAACAGAGTCCAGTCGGCTCACTTCCCACCTCCTGACATATTTGCACCACACCTGCTCGTATCCTTGCCCCCAAAACCCCTTCATCAGGACACGGTCTTCAGCGTGCGAGAGGCTGCCACCAACAACCTCCGGTCCCTGGCCCAGGAATTCGGCGCCGACTGGGCGCGGGAGCATGTGGTGCCGCAGGCGAGTCGGGCGCAGGCTTCTCGGAGTTTGGCTGAGGGATGTCGTGTGGTTGCAGCAGAGCATCATTGTCCATGGAGAAGGATGCTCTTGCCTGACAGTGCCCTGACCCACCGATTCCCCATCTCCACAACGATATCCTCTCCCCCAGGTCTTGGCCCTGGCGGGGCACCAGAACTACCTGTACCGCATCACGGTCCTAGCGGCAGTGTCCAGCCTGGCGGCGGTGGTGCCTAGGGACACGCTCTGCAACGCCATGCTGCCGACAGTGGTGGAGAGGGCCAAGGTGCGAACTCTCATGGGATGGAGCAAGGGGTGAAGAAGCTAGCCTGTGCGCTCGATGATCACAGGTCTGCGTGCAGTACCTCCGTCCCCTGTGTCTGCATGCTTGGCAGGGGCACTGCTTGCCCTGGCCAACCCACCAAGGATGTATAGGTGCCGATCAACCCCCACCCTCCATTCACCCATTCCCCCCCTTTCCCCCCTTTGGGCCAATCCGCACAGGATCGGGTGCCCAACGTGCGATTCAACGCTGCGCAGCTGCTCGAGCGGCTGGCGGGGCTCGTGGATCCCCCCGTCGTCGACCAGGTGATCAAGCCCGTTCTGGCGGAGCTGGCGGCAGACAGGGACGCGGACGTGCGGTTCTTCGCAACGCACGCGCTGGCGGCCTGCGACGACCTGGCGGCCATGGCCTGAGCCAAGGGGGGGGCCTGGTGGGGATCCATGCACGCCGTGCTACCAGGCGACCGAGCCCCCGTACGGAGCGAAACTTCCCCCGACTCATGCCCGGCACTCCTTGCTCTGTGCCATACTTGGACCGCATGTCCCTGCTTGGTGGCAAGGAGACCACCTGTAAAGAAGGGAGTGGACCAGGTGCAGGATGATGCTGAGCCACAATGTGCAGTCCTGGCACTCTCGCGATGGGGATATTGCTGAGGACGTGCAACTTGGTATTGAGTGTGACAAAGAGGCTCATCCAACTCCGGAGGAGGCAGGATCTCGTCGAGACGCTGGCCCCGCTACACAATCCAACGGGCCAGGGGGGAAGTGGCGATCGACCTGTGGATCTCCGATGGGACGGACCAGAAGATCCTGGATCGGCACGGCTTGCAGGCATACCCTTGAAGATTTAAACTCTATGGCATCCTCTTCCAGAATGAGCGATGCAGGTGCCCAAGAACCTGACACCGCATCGCCGTGCGAAGAACCGGGCAGTGCCGGCTCGGTTGCAGATCACATCCAGTTCCGCATTGTGTACGGCAGGAATAGCAAGTCGGTCTCCAGGTCCCCGCAGCACACAGTCAGAGAGCTGAAACGGGAGATAGAAGAGCACACAGGTGAGCTGCCGATGTTTGGTGGGCAGTCCTGCCACTCATGAGTGTCCTCCTGGCTGAGCCTCATCAGCGGCTCATGTTGGCAGGTGTCGTCGTTCCTAATCAGAAGCTTCTATGCAAGACCCAACTCCGTGATCACCAGACTCTCTCCGAGGTACATAAAGTTGAGGACAGTGCCTGTGGAATAATGGCAACGCACAACTCGGAATGCGGCAGTGCTTGACAGGGAACTTGAAAATAGAGTATCAGCGCACCTCTCCGTGCCCTGCGCTCCCATTCCCTCCCAGGCTGGCGTAAAACAAGGCTCCAAGATCATGGTGCTGGCCATCCGGCCTCAAAGCAGCCCAGCGACGCCCCAGACTGCCGAGGGGAGCACGGAACACGCGTGGGACCCGACCCCTGCCGCTGAGGTCTGGGCCGACCAGGAGCGCCACAAGAAGGCAGGACAAGGGGGGCAGGAGTGCCGGGGCCCCTGCCCTCCTCCCCGGTCATCCGGGCTTGATGCGAGCCTCTTCATCCCCCGCCATCGCCGCAGGTTCTGGAGTCGGGTCGACCGGAGGGTGGCTGGGTCGGCATCGCAGACCGGCAGGTCCCTCTGGATGACAATCAGTCCTTCATCCCGGCCCTCCTCACACAGGCCAGGGTCAAGGTGCGTGGGCATGGGGTCCTGCGAGGAGGGCCTGCTTCAAGGGCTCTTGCGGTCAACCCTCGACCGCTCCTCGACATCCTGGCCCACGGTGCATAAGATTTTGCCGAGGGCGCCCTCCCTCCCCGCCTGTCAGACGCACCCCTCTAATGCTCATGGCCCAAGACATTCCACCCCGGTTGCCAGGTGCGGCTGACGTTCAAGCCCGAGCTGCAGCAGGTGTGGCTCGGGTCTGACCACAGCACCCAAAAGGTCCCCTACAGCAGTGTGCGTGGCATCATTTCCCAGCCCATCCCTGCCTCGCCTGGCTACTCCATCCTGTGCCTCTCTTTGGGCTCCGGGAGCAGCCAGCTGTGGCTCTATTGGGTGCCCTCGCAGGCTGTGTCGGGCATCAAGCTGAGGGTGCTGGGGGTGCAATCCCTTTTATGACAAGCCGAATTCTTGTGGCAAATAAGCAGCGTTCCAAGAACAGCGCATTGTGAGGGGGGGGATGGGCAGAATGATCCAGGTTGGCAAAGGTCTCAAAAGAGGGTGGATCTGCAAGCACATCCCCAGCCACTCCAGCTTGGGTCTGCGCTAGTTCAGCCAAGCAGACGGCACGGATGCCTGGCGCCTTCGTGGTCTCCATGCAGCTCCGATATCACTTCTGCGCCGCAGCCGACGCCGTGAGCTCCGCATCGCGCTTCCCCAGGTACCGGTCCCAGTAGTCCACGCCCACGGCCCTCGGCTTGCCGTAGAAAAGGTGCTGCACTCCGCTTGGAAGGCCCCCCATGCCCGTGACGAGGACCAGGATGATCCCCAGGGGCAGCATGCCCTCAGCCCATGGCGCCAGCATCGGGCAGTTGCCCGAAGGGTGTTCCCACGGGTCCGCTCGGCGACAGGTTTGTCTTGCCAGGCAAGCACCCAAGGAGTTGGAGCGCCCGGTTGGACTAGATGATGAGCTCGATAATCCTCTCCAGAGCCTCCTGCGGCTCGTATCGGGGGGCCTGTGGGAGAGACGGGTTTGGGCATGGGTGATGCTCACAGTGGTAGTACCCTCTGCAAGGCGATGGTACCGCGAAGGTCCCTTCCTCACCAAAGAATGACGTGTGCCAGCATACAACACGTTCTGCTGTGTGCCCCGCAAGCCTGTTGAGCTCATCCAAAATCGTGACACACTCACGCAATCACTGGAATCTTCTCATCAGATCGCAACATGGCAGGTGGGTGCTTGGAGTCTTCTGGATCGCCTGCTATGTTTTCATATACCTCGGGCGACCTACGGCATGTGCCAAACCATATTTTCACGACTGATCCATTCTTAGAACAATCACACGAAAGCTCCTGATTATGGCAGGCGGAAAGGTCGTGGTCGTAAACAGCAAAGCTGAGTGGGACCAGGTGCTCAACGAGGCCAAGAACTCCGGCAAGGCGGTGAGCATTCGAAAGGGAGTGAATCGGCGGTAATACTCTTTGGGTGATGTGGCTGGGTCTTGGCTGTCGTTCAGGCCCTCATCAAGGGAAGGTGGAGGCCTCGTCTGGGCCCATGAGCTACCTGCGCGTCCCAGGTTTCCCCTCTGCCCCCCCACACCCCCCCCCTGGCCTCTCTCCTCCAGGTCATCGTCGACTTCTTCGCCACATGGTGCGGGCCCTGCCGCCTCATCTCCCCCTACTTCCAGGAGCTGTCCTCCAACTATGACGACGTCGTCTTCGTGAAGCTGGACGTGGACCAGGTGGAAGAGGTTGCCCAAGCCCTGGGCATCACCGCCATGCCGACCTTCCAGGTCTTCCAGTCCGGGGAGAAGGTGGACGAGTTGATCGGCGCGTCCAAGGACAAGCTGAAGAGCCTGGTGGAAAAGTACAGCAAGGTGGGAGTGGCTGCCTGAGTGCCCCGCTGCAGAGGTCCACATCCAGGACCATGCCGTACCATTTTCTCTCGAGACAAAGCACCCCGCTCGGCCTTCACATGGTGTGACTGTGGCCTCGTCGCATCCTGGCATGCGTCTTGACGTCTTGTACAGAGCCTAGAATGAATGGGTACCCATTTGCTTCATCAGGGAGGGCAGAGGCTCACAACGAGAGGATGCAGAGAGCAGAGAATGGGAGAATACTGGTTCCTGGGAAGCAAGCACTGTGCTCTGGGGATCTAGACACCGAACGAAGGTCGCAGACACGGGCATGACTCCCCTTGCAGGAGCAAAACAGTCCCTTTCTGATCAGTGTGGCAGCCCTGGCCAACAGAGGGTCTTTCATTAACATGCACTAATCGTGCTTCTTTCCCTGGCAATGGAGGTGGGTGGCATGCAACAAGGTGGATAGAGCACGAGGGAGGGCAGCCCGCTCTCAATCTGAGATGATGATTAGATTTGTGAGGATGCAATGGCAAGCCCTCCGTTCTTACACTCCGGTCATGCTGCGCCTCAGGGATGATCGTTGCCAGGTTCAAAGAGTATGAGATTGGCTGGGTGAATGCATTGGATTAGGAAGGCTTTTAGCGGTGAAAGATCGGCCCTAGGGCGCAGCTCATGACGGGCCCGGCCTTCCATTCCCGGGTGGATAATGAAAAAGAGCGAGGATTTCGTTCTACAAGTCTGTTCCGCATGCGACAGTGGGAGCAGCCCTTGTCTTAGGGACCATTTGGCGCCCTCAACGGCCGGTTTATCCGACAGCGAGGCTGTCAATTGAACCACGGCTTGGCAGCTGGCCCACGTGCGGTGCGGATGCCACGCCGGCACGATGCGGAGATGCCCTTGCACAAGACAGAATCGCACAATGCACTCACATAAGCCCCCACCCTGAAATTGGCCCACCCTTAGCCCTCCAATTTTCGTCACTGAATCCGTGATAAGGGTGGCATCTCGAGGACACGTCGCTTCGCCAGCAACGCCACAGGGCGCCAAGAATGCTCGCCCGGGCATCTCCGGGGGGTGTATGCTCGCGCTTGTCCTCCTGATGGCGGTTGCCCCAATTCAGGCATCCAGATCCATACCCTCAGTCACCGTTATTAGCAGCAAGTCTCACTGGGGCGCGTCGCTCGCTGCTGCCAGGGAACACAACATGACGGTGCGTGCTGGGCTTGAGACTGCACGGAGCCCGCTGTGAGGTTCCGGAACTGGGTGGGCCGAGGTGACGCCCCCCGCCGGCCCTACCACATTGCTCTGCCAGACTCGATCGACACCACTCGCTCTCGCCCCGCACCGCCAGGTTATTGTGGAGTTCCGCGCCCCGTGGTGCGGCCCCTGCAGGGGCATTGACTCTTTCATCGGACAGCTGTCCGCCAAGTACAGCGATGTCCTCTTCGTGACAGTGGACGTGGAAGATGTGGAGGCTCTGCAGAGGGAGTACGACATCCAGGCCACGCCCACCTTCGTCGCCCTGCAGGGGACCACCGAGAAGGAGCGTACCTTTGGGGCCGTCAGACCCAAGATCGAGGCCATGGCCAAGAGATACAGCAAGTACTGATGAACGTGGGCTCCCGGCACCCCCCTCTGGAGAAGTGCACACCCAGGAGGCACTCCCCCTGGTCTGGACAAGTGCACACCCAGGAAGCACTCCCCCTGGTCTGGACAAGTGCAGGCTCGGTATCTGTCCCCCTTTATCCCCAAATTTACCTGCTGCTGCCTGCCACTCTGAATTTCTGGAACCACCTGGACTGCGTTGCAGTGCGATCACCACCTTCACTTGCCACAGCTGCCGGATTGGACTCAGGCAATGGGTCTGGTGGTGCAATTCCCGCCCGCTGGACACGCGTCTTCTGTACTGCCAGGCAAGCAGACACATGTCCTCCGCCCTTCCGTCCCGTGTAATACCACACTGTGACCCTGCTCCGGCGTCAAGCAATGCCACGAGGAGCTCTCGCTCCATGCAAGTGCTCCAGCCGCGACCCGTGGCACATCAGTTCGCAGTTGCATCCGCGTGATGTTCCACGCTGCCCGCCAGTCCCAGCGTGTGTGCGCTCTCAATATCCATGGCCCCCTGCCACGCCAGCCCCAGCCGTCGCCGACCCAATAAGCCAGCACATCGGCACCGCCCCTGGCATGTGGCTCACCCGATCCAGGTACAGTCCACCAGGGGGCAAGGGTGCTGGTTGCCCTTCCAGTAGGCGGCTTGGTGCAGCCTCGCCGACAATCCAGGCCATCCCGTCTGGGGAGAAGGTGGACAAGCTCATCGGCACGTCCAGGGAGAAGGTCGCGAGCGTGGTGGTAAGGTACAGTAAGGCTGGAGTTCCCATTTGAGTGCCCCAAGTCGAAAATCCATGGCCAGGACCCTTACGTGGTGTCCCCGCCCTGGACTGGGCGTTCACGCCGCTACATGGTTGATGTTTGAATGCGACGCATCCTGACATGCGTCTTGACGTTGTGTACAGAGGCTACAACGTCCAGGTACTCACTCGAATCCACAGTGAGATGGAGGTCTCCGATGACAGCAAGCGGAGTGCAGAGAAGGGGAGAGCATGATGGGCCCCTGGGAAACGGTGATCTTATCTACAGATAAATTATCGTGGAGGACAGCAGAATGGCTGGGCATGGCACCACCCTGGAAAAGCAGTTGAGAATTGTCGTGACAATTTGACGAGGCTGGCCACGCGGGAGCTCTTGTAAAGCACTTTCCAGCCTTGGACGACAGACTGTCTCACACCCAGGAACCAGTCAGTCGTGCGACAAGGGTGAGACGGTGCACGAAAGAGGGCGGAGCGTTCTCAAACTCACCAAGACAAACCTTCTTGCGTGGAAGCATAGGTTACCCTCGTCGTTTTTACATTACTGTCATGCTGACATGCCTGCGGGGTCCACCGGTGCTGCTCCACCTCACAATTGGTTCATGTAGGTGCCAACAATGTTTGCGGGGGTTACAGGCTGTGAGGGACCGACGAGCGCGCAATCCTGCAAAATGGTCCGATCTAGGAACAAATTGGGGGTTGTGGAACTGTAAGAGAACTGGTATCATCAGGCGGACCTCGCAGCTTGATGCCTGGCGACAGCAGCGTGAAACTGAGGCATGTTTTGGCGCCTTCGATGTCCGGAGGGAGGCTATCCGATGGATCACTGCTCGCCAGCTGGTCGGCGGTCCGGATCGACCGGAGCAGAATTCTCGCGGCAGGACAGAGTAGGGGGGTTCGGCCTCAGTCATACATTTTGGCTCGTACGCACTCGCCAGCGAGGGAACTCGCCCATACTGACCCTCCAATTCTCTTCGTAGAGTACGTATCAGCGATGGTAACTCAGGGACATGTCGCTTCGCCTGCCCTGCCACAGGGCTTCAATAGTGCCCGCCAGTGTATTTCCGGGGTGTGCATGCTCGCAGTTGTCCTCCTGTTGGCGGTCGCCCCAGTTCAGGCATTCAGAACCCTGAACACAGTCGTCCCCGTCAACAACAAGGCCCAGTGGGACTTCGTGCTGGCTGACTCCATGGCCAAAAACCAGACGGTGCGTGCGGGGCTGGAGCCTGCTGTTGAGGTTCCGGTAATGGTGTGGCGGAGGCAATACCCGGCCGACCCTGCCACCTTGCTCTGACGGACTCGATAGACACCACTCGCGCACGCTCCCCACCGCCAGGTCATCGCGGAGTTTGGGGCCGTGTGGTGCGGCCCCTGCACAGCCCTCCGCTCCTGGGTCCAACAGATGTCCGACAAGTACAACGACCTGAACTTCGTGACAGTGGACGTGGACAACGCCAAGGAGGTGGCCAAGCAGTACGACATCATCGCGATGCCCACATTCATCGTCCTGCAGGACACCAGCGAGAAGGAACGTGCTCTCGGGGCCATCAAGTCGAGGCTCGAGGCCATGTTTCACAAGTACAGCAAGTACTGATGGGTGCGGGAGTGAGGTATCCCCCCCGGCTGGGGGGAGTGCCGGCCTCGCGGTCCTCCCCCTGATCCTCAAGACTCACCTGCTATTGCCTTGCGAGTTCTCCATTGAGAGGCCCTGGCAGCGCCTGCACCGCGACCCCCACCTCCATCTTCAGCTGCAGTGCAATCCCGGCGAGGGGCGGGCCCAGCCCGGTCCATGCCGGAATGACCCTGACCTCGCCAATGGCGACATGCACTCTGGCACACGATTCCCCGCCTTCCTGCCTGTGCAACCTTTTTCATGTAACAACACACCGGGGCACCACTCTGGACGCGCCACATCAAGGCCTGGCTGTCCCTGTTCCAGGCGAGTGCTGTGGCCACGAAATGCGGCACCATGGCACCGGCCCGCGACCTGGCGGCATCCCTCGCTGCATGCACCGTGCCCAGCATGCCCGCGCTCACGCCTCTCCCGCCCCCTCGCCGCGCCAGCCCCAGACGCCGCCGACCCAGTGGTCCAGCACCTGGGGGCTCCCATACCAGACGCGGCGCTGGGCCGGCCGCGGCCCCCCTGCAACGTCGGACTGGGCCCCCACGGCGCCCGCCCCCACCGCGCCCAGGTCTGAGACCCCCGTCCCCGCCGCTGCCGTTGCCGCGGCCGCCCCAGCCGCCGCCGCCGCCTCGCGCGCGCCCAGCGGCGAGTGGTACACCCCGTCCAGAGTCAACTGGCGCGCGCCCTCCAGGTGCGCGCTCTGCACCGGCACCACGCCGTCGCCCCAGACGGCGCCGCCCCCGCCGCAGACCTGGGCGTAGGCCAGGCCCAGCAGGCGCGCGCGCGCGCCGCCCGGGCCAGCGAGCGGCGCGCCGCACGCGTAGCGTCCGGCCACCGTGGTGTAGGCGACGCCAGGCTCGTGGGCGCCAGGGTAGGCCTCCTCCACGGCGCGCAGGATACCCCGGGTCTGGTCAAAGGTGCCGTCCGGGGGCGGGGCCTGGGGCGAGCCCAGGCTCACATACGCGTCCACGCGATGCGCTGCGGGCGGGCGCGCGCCCAAGTACACGCGCCCCAGCCAGCCGCCGGCGGAGTGCGCCAGCAGGGTGAGCGGCGCCTCGCCGCCCAGCGCGCGCAGCGCCGCCTCCGCTGCGTGGCTCACGCGGTCCAGGTACCAGTCCACCGTGGGGCGGGGGTGGAGCGTGCCCTTCCAGTAAGCGGCCTGGCGCAGCCCCGCCGCGTTACGGGCCCTGTGGTGTCCGTGGTGGGGGTGGGTGGGGTGGTGGGTGGGGTGGCGTGACAAGCAGGGGGATGGCTTGGTCTTGGCCGAGTGCACAGGCCCCAGGGGAAGGACCTGGAATGAGGAAGACCCAGGCAAGTAATGACCGTTGAAAGCTCCATTGGCTCCATGCACGTGGCCCGACACAGGTCACACATTCGCTGCAGTACATTCCTTTCCCTCCCTCCTCCCCCCTCCCCCCCCCCTCCCTGCTCACCAGTCCAGGCGGGACATGGGTGCCACTTCCACATGCAAGTTCCTTTGCCGCAGGAGGTGCACGAGGGCCCCGTAGTCCGCCGAATTGTTGCCCAGGCCAGGCAGGATAATCACCCCCCTGCTGGGCTGCGCATCCCCTGATCCCAGCACAGCGCAGCGCCGGGGGAAGCCCCTACGTCGTGGTGCGCCGATACGGACAGTCTCTCGGGGAATCCAGCGCAGTGACGTCGTAGAGGCGACGCTGTGGCGGCGGCATGACGCACCTCGAACTCCTGGTTGTGAGGTGGTGCTACGACCTCCGTGGCCCTCATGAGCGCTGGCTGCGACCAGCATGTTTGCATGAGCAAGGGTAATGCACGCGAGACAACATGGAAACTGAATGTTCAGCGCATCACTGTGTGCCTGGCCGCATGTATCGCGTGACAGACTGTGATTTTCTGCGGCCATGATGGGCCGTCATCGATCACCAGATCTGTTGACCCCTCGAGTGTGAACTCGTGTGCATGAGCATACTGTTTCATCACCGACCATGGAGCCATGACCCAAAGCATGCTCAAATTTTTAAAGAGAGGGGCTCCGGCCTTGAGCATTTGATGCAGCACCTGTTCATGCCTAGCCTGGTCGAATGCTCCCATCTGGGCTGCGCCCTGGCATTCACTGACTTGGCAGTCCCTTGATGCAACCATCACACGCTGCCAAAGATTCTTCCCAATCTAAGTCACCGCCTGGCACGAGACATTGACAAGTAAGGTTCTCAGGTCCAGAATCCAGCAGGCGCGCAGTCTCAGCATGCGCAGAGGCTGGCGTCTCCAGCAAAGAGAGGTTGCACCACTCTGGAGACGGTCAGAAAAGCCGTTTTTGGGGGGGGGGACGGGGGGCGACGTCGCGCACAGGGCAAGGTTTATGGGTCGAAACATGTCCGCCCAGGAGAGGTGATGCCATGGCATACCGACAAACAGGCACGAAAAGGATTGGTGGGGTTGTTGAAGCCCTATGCACCCGTGGGAGATCAGGGGGGAGTCACATATAGAATCACTTTGGGGGGAAAGGCGCGTGGGACAAACCCTGGTTTTCCTAGTAGTGATGCTGGAAAAGGGGATCGTTTGCAGACCCCCAGACTCGTTGAGGTTAGAGGATCACAGAGGCATGGCTCTGTAAAGAGCGCGAGTGGAGATGCTGACCACGCCTCGAGCACTTTCTGATACGACTGCGATCATATAGGGGGGGTGGGGGAGGGGTGGGGGAGTTGGAGCAGTGGTGGATGAAGGGTGGGAGGAGGACTGGACAGGTAGGGCATTGATGCAGACAAGCCTCCCCTGGGCACAGTGAGAGACAGTGCACACCCTGGGTTAACGTGAGACGACAATGACTGTTCACAGGAAACCCAACGCAACAGGCTCCGAGATCACACAGGATCGACTGCTTTGCGCATTGCAGCAGGAACATTCCATCTCATTACTCAACCTCAGCCCCTTCCATCTCCCCGCCTCACCCAGAGCATCACTGGGCAGGGTGAGTGGCACGAGCCCCTTGAATGCCTTGAGGGGGGCCTGCCCGGTGGTCAACATGACCTTCAGGCTGTCCTGCAGCTGCAGCCCCGCCGCGTCAGCGCCTGCAGGAACAGAGGGGAGGGAAGGCATGGGCCGTCTGACGCTCGTTCAGCATGGGTCCCACTCAGAAATGAGCGTGGTTCTACTCCCCAGCACCGTCCTCTTGATTCCACGGTCCTACGCTGCCCACAACCCCACACCTGTCACGATGCTGATGGTCTCGTCTTCGAGGTCCTTGCCGGCGACGTGCAGCTGACTCAGCAGGGTGAGCCAGGTCAGCACCGAGGTCACACCGACCTCTGTCCCGGCATCTCTGCGCCAGGAGCAGGAATTTTAATAAAGGTGGAGGTGCCATAATTCCAGACAAGATCCCATACCAGCAGACTCTCTGAACATGTTGATTGGATCAGACCAGCTCAGCCGCCAACAATGCCACCCAAGACCAACACCACCCACCCCCTCAGACACACCTGAGGTTGACCCAGCCGCTCCCCGACTGCCCCGGCAGCACATAGTGCTTGAACACCCCCAGGGTGTGTGCCTGGGAGCAGAGTTGCACCGCCAGGTGGGCCTGGTCCGTCCTGGAGGCCGAGAGGATGAGCAGCCGGTAGGTGGTCTGGGTGAGGCGAGGGGAAGTGGCCGAGAGGGAGGTCAACAGGGTAGCTTGGCAAGCAGATGGGCTTTTGACAAGGGCACCCAGCTGTGAGAAGGGGACACCTTCCTGGTGGACGTCTCACATGACCATCAAGGCGACGAAGGTTACCCTCTTGTGTATGAATGAGACCCCTGGGCCAGCCACATGCACTTCAACCGCATGAGTCTGACGGATCCATCTCTCACCGCGTCTGCGCTCAGACCCGAGTCCTGGATGCGAGTGAGCAAGTGGATGGTGGCCTCCAGGTCCAGCCGCCCGATGCAGCCCTCCAGCTCCCGGTTGGCCTCCTCGATGGAGGCAAAGGGGCCGGGGTTCAGGCCTGGCACGGTCCCCAGGGGAAGGAAGGGGGAGGGGGGGGACTGCGCCGCGGACGGCAGCTGCAGCGGTCCGCCCAGGGCGGACCCAGCGGGGCTCAGGGCAGGCGAGAACAGCGGTCCGGGGGCAGGGGAGACCCCCGGCGCGACCTCGGCCAGGCCGGGGCCGGTAGGGGACAGCGCGCCGGGCAGGCGCCCAGCGCCCACGCCGGCGCCACCCACGCCCCCGGCGCCGCCCGCCGACATCAGGGTCATGAGAGCTGCCAGGGTGCCGGGGTCCACGTTCAGCCTGGCCTCCTGCATCTGGCCCAGCACCTCCACCATGACGTTGTACTGCCCCGCAGTCAGGGCCGTGCTCAGCAGGTGGTTGTAGGCCGGCTCCGCGCTCGCCAACTACATCGTGAGTGGTGGGTGTGTAGTGGATGCCCAGGCTGCAGAGGATGTCAGGGACTGCACCTGCCGGGCCAGCACACATGCACACCAACCGCCTTCTAACCACTGTGAGCAGGGGCCGCCCACACTGAGCACCCCACGCAAATGAACCACTCCTGGTGGGCATGAGGGGCGGGGCGGCGAGGCGCCCCCCGCCATGCATGCCGAGCGTGGTGGGCGGATTGGTTGCCAGGTGAGCGTTTTGTGTTGGGCGTGAGGGGTAGAAGGGCATGAGCATTTCGAATCCAGTGCCGGGAGTGGGAGTTTGGGGTGGGGCCTCGGCACCCTCACCAGCTGGAATCACGCTCTCCCCCGCTATGCATTGCAGTCTCAGTCAGCAAGGATGCATGCATGACCCCTGGGGAGCCGTCCCAGCCCTCCACCTCAACCCGGCCACCACCACCACTCTCGAACCTGAGCGGCGGATGCCGCGGCGCACAGCGACTGCGCCGGCTCCCAGGCTCCCAGCAGGCTGCAGGCCGAGATGAGGGAGGTGAACACATCCGCATCCAGCTGTACGCCCTGGGACAGGAGCGAGTGCGCCAGGAAGGCGGCCTTGCCCACCTGACGGGAGAGAGGGAAGGGGGTTGGGGTGAGGGCCTGCTCAGCGTGAGTTCGGGGGGGTGGGGGGGGGGGGGGGGGCGACTAGATGGTGAATATGGTTTGGGGGCATCGACACACCCTATCCCTGACGGCCTGCATCATCACACCAATTCAAGTGTGCGAGGACATCCTAAGACACCATGCTCTTTTTGTTCTTGGACCATGCCCTACCCCCACCATCCATCCTCTCCCGGATTGGAACCGGCGCGCACCTCCCCCAGCTGCAGCATGGACTGCAGGATGGTGAGGGCCCCCGCGGCGTCGGGCGTCTGGCCCTGGGCCAGCATGAGGTCGTGCACCGCCAGCACCTGCTGCGGGTTCCCCGTGGCCGCCAGCACCCTGACCAGGGCCAGAAAGGTGTCGGCGTCGCGCTGCGCCGCGCGCGGGCCCTGCATCTCGCGGAACACCTGCAGCGCGCCGGCCGCCAGCGCGGGACGCTGCGCCGGCGGCGCGGCCTCCGCAGCGCGCGCCAGGGCCGCCAGGCACGCGTTGAAGAGGGGGGTGCCGGGGGCGAGGCCGCCCTCCAGGCCCCCCGCCAGCGCCGCGCGCATGGCCTCCAGCGCGTCAGCCCAGGCGCCACTGGCGCCACAGGCGGTGAGCATGGCGTGCATCAGCGCGGGGGAGGGGGCCTGCCCCGACCCCAGCAGGTCGAAGAAGAAGGAGCGCACCTTGTGGTACTGCCCAGACTTCATATACCCGGAGATCAGTGTGTTCACTGCGAGGAGTGATGGGAGCCGGGGGGAGCCCGCGGGGGGGTGGGTGGGGTGGTGGGGGGAGATGGAAAAGGTCTGGTAGGGTGGGGACCATTGGGGCGAGGGCATGTGGTTCGACAGCGCGCTCTTCCCAGGTGGGACCCCTCACGCATGACAGGGCAACCGGGCACCTGCGCGCTTTCCATCAACAGCAATACGTGCACTGCACCCTCCCCCCCCAAGAAAGAACACCCCAGACAGTGTCGACAATCAAGTATGACTCACGGGCCGTGGTAGGGCCTGGGTGGGTGCCGTGCTTGGGAGTCCCCACGCTGCCCAGCCAGGGTGTGCCCAGCGGCGACTGCGGCTCCTCACAGTGGCCCAGCTGCAAGGGGGGGTGCATTGAGGATGAGGGGCAAGGGAGTCAGAGGGGGAGCAGAGGGTAAAAGCTTCCACTGCTGTTGTGGGCCATGTCATAGTATCCCTCCATCAAGACTGGGCACCAAACCTGGCTCATACACGTCCAGGACCACAAAACAATGCGCACCCCTCTGCCATCCACTTCCCCTCCCCTCCATCGCCCCCTTCCTTCCCCCTCCAACCCCACACCCCTCCTTTCCACCTTGACGAGCGCGGCGACAAAGGTGTTCATGCAGGCACCCTTCACGTCGCGGTCGGCGACCTCCAGCCAGCGCCCCACCTCCTGCAGCGTCCCCGCCGCCCCCGCCTCGGCCGCGGCGGCGATGAGGCAGTTGAAGGTGGTGATGTTGGGCCGCACCCCGCGCGACCCCATTTCCTTGAACACCTCCAGCGCGCGGTCCAGCTCGCCCGCGTTGGTGCAGGCCTTGAGCGCGGTGTTGAAGCTGACCGCGTCGGGGGCCAGCGTGGGCCCGCCCTCCCACATCGCGCGCAGCAGGTGCACCGCGCGCTGCCACTGGGGCGGGCGCGCACGCGCGTAGGCCGCCAGCAGCGCGTTGCAGCAGACGCGGTTGGGTGTCACGCGCGCGGCGTGGCCGAAGGCGAAGGTGGGGCCGGGTGGCGACCCCGCGCGCGCCGGCGACCCCAGCGCGGACAGGCCGCCCATGGACGGCAGGCCGGACGACGCGCCGTCCTCCGCCCCCGGACCGCCGCCCGCGACGGTGGCGGCCGTGGGCGTGTCGGCGCGCGACCCCGGCGCGGGCCCGGGCACGAAGCTGGTCATGGCGCGGCGAAGGTGCGCGCTGGCCTGCACATCGTGCACGCCGCTGAGCGCGCGGCGCGGCGCATGCGGCGCGGACAACGAAACGCTGCGCTCGATGCGTGGGCCGGCGCCGGGCGCGGCGAAGGCCGAGGCCGACGCAGAGGCCGCGCGCAGCGGCGCGTCGCTGCCCGTGCGCCGGATGCCCGCGGCCAGGCTGGCGGCGGTGATGAAGGGGCTGGCGGCGACGCCCGCGCGCGCCGCGCCGGGCCCAGCCCCCGGCACACCCAGCGTCGCACGCTCGACGTCGCCCAGGCTCAGGGAGCTGCGCAGGCGGGAGGCCAGCTCCTCCCCGTCGGCCAGCAGCCGGTCCGCCGTCCCGTCGGACGGCTCCCCCCCCGGCACGCCCTCCCCCGCGGGCGCGCCGGCATCCCGCACCTCCCCCCCGCCCGGCGAGGACGCGCCGGGCGGGGGCAGGACGCGGAGGAGGTCGAAGACGGACGAAGGCGACACCTCCCCCGCCTTGCCCTCCTCCTTGCCGTCCTTCCTGGGCGCCACCACCCCCACCTCGGCGTCCTTGGCCACACAGCACATCTGCAGGAAGAGGGCCTCCGCCAGCTGCCACTGCCCGCCGCGCTCCAGCGCGTTGATCAGGCTGCAGCAGGTGACGACATCGGCGGGCACCCCCGCGTCGCGCATGTGGTTGAACACCTGCAGCGCGGCATGCCACTGCTTGCCCTTGGCCAGCGAGGAGATGGTGGCCGAGTAGGTGATGGCGTCGCGCGGCAGGCCCAGCCGCTCCATGCTCTCAAATACCTCCAGCGCCTTTGTGTGGGGGGGTGGGGGGGTGAGTAGGGGAGAGGCTTGTGATAGGCATGGATCTTCTAAGCCAACATGAGGGTGGGGACAGGAGCAGGAGTTCTGGATATGCCGGAGTTGAGACAGGCGGCGAGGTTTCCTGCGCTGGGATGAAACCCGGCTGGATGGACAGCGACCTGTCCCGGGTAAACACACCCCTCCACCTCATGTCACCACCGTGCTCACCTTCTGCCAGCGCCCGCCCTTGTCGCACGCGCTGATGGCCGAGTTGGTGAGGGCGGTGTCCGGGATCAGGCCCAGGTCCTCCACCGTCTCGTACACCTCCAGCGCCTTGCGCCAGGCCCCCTCCTTGCTCAGCTTGCTGACCATCTTAGTGAGGCCTGGTAAGACGGGGGGGGTACGAGGTTGTGCAGGGGGCAGGCTGTCGTAGGAGGACAGGTTGTGGAAGACTTCGTGCGACACAGCGGGACTTGGGGCGCAGGCCAGACCCCAAAATCCACGGGCAACCGCCCTGTCCACGCACCTGGCAGACGGGGCTTAAAAGAGGCGCGCAGCAGGACGGAGCGGACCTCGCCCGTCCCCTCCCTCGCGTCGATGAGGGCCTGGGACAGCTGGCGCATGTCCACCGCCGTCAGGGGTCTGCGAGGAGGGGGGAGGTCCGGTGAGGCTGCAAAGAACCCCGTCACATGGGACCCCGGCAGGGCATGCACGGCATGCACCCAAATCCATCCCCGGCACACCCACCTCTGTCCCATGTGACGCTTAAAGTCGGCCTGCCTGGTGTCAAAGTGGGGCGGCAGGTAGTCGGCATGCATGCCGGGTTGGCCGGGCATGGGCCAGCCATACGCGTCTCCCATGGAGCCTCGCGACCGGGTCGCACTTCCGCCGGATGCAGGCAAAGGACCTGTCGCTCAAATTGTCACAGAAAAAAGGTGTGGCGGGGCCTAGGCTGGGAGGTTGTTGGATGCGGGCATGGGTGGGAATGACGGGTCGGCAGTCGCGACTCGCTCCCCTGGCACTCGAAATGCCAGTTGCGACAGGCAAGACCGCTTCCAGGGGAACCCCAGCAATGCAACGCACAGATTGGTATCATCATTACAAAGGCACAGCCCACGCTGCGCGGCGGTTTACACGCATACCTTGATGAATCGCGGGGGAAGATACCCCGAGCGTCCTGGTTTGAAGCCGGAGGACCGTTACATCCCCTCCATACAGGTCCAGCTCAATACAGTGAGGCTCACAGACACGACTATAGTCACCAGGGTGAGTAGATGCGACAAGGGAGCTGGGAATGGTGAGTCGGGTAGGATGCGCGCAGGCCCAAGTGCCATTGCTCCTGTGCGTTCGCTAGGCCCGGGTCGAAGCGGAGCGGCCCAGATTTTTCAATTTTCCAACGAGGCATTCGTCCTGCTGGACTCCCAAGCGTACCGAGTGTCCAATGGTCCAAAAATACTCCAACAGAGATGGACAGCAAAACAGTTTTTCCGGCCACAATTTTCAGTTTACTTCTTACTCGAATAGCTTCTCCAAGGCAACTGCTCTATACATTACAAGCTTTCCTGCATCCTCACGGTCACCAATCACAGGGTTCCCAGCACTCGCGTGCCGTCCTTGTCAATGACCTTGACAATGAAGGCGGAAGGTGATACTACCAGCCGCGCCTTCACCTCATCCACTCCTGCAGGGTATTGTGGAGAATGATTTAACCTCACAGGTGCCCAATTTCGAGAAACTGCCTGGCACTTGAAACATGCAGGTCCTCCAACTGCAAAAATGCCGCAGTCCGTGCACAAAAGACTCACCCTTGCGCATCAGCTCAAAGGCCTCCTCTTGTGTGAGGTCGGGGCGCCAGAGCCGATCGAAAAGAGAGAGAACAAAGTAGGAGCCTGGGCATAAGGGTGGTACGGGGATCAGTCTGATGTGGCTGCTGAATGATTCCGTGCGCTCCCCACGCCAGGATTGGATGCGGTGTGGTGCCACAGACAGCGCACTGGTTGGAGAAGCGCAGGGTGACTCGATGCGACAGGCCTACATCTGGAATCGAACTCACCGTAGCCTGAACCACAGACATTTGTCTGGTGCAGCGTCGCCAGGTAATCGAGCCAGTACAGGGCTGGCCCTGTCGATGCATCAAAGCCCGCAAGGAGCAAGTTGGTCTGGTATGGGGACTATAGAGAGGAGGAAAGGACGGTGTTGAGAGACTGTGGTTCCTCCGGAGACTTGGTCATGCATCAGGCACCATGGCTCCCAGGGGCATGCACCATGGCTCCTGGTAGCCCCTGATGGACTCCATGGTGTCTGCAAAGGGTCCTGGTGAGACAGCATGCTCCTGTGCTCCAGCAACTCCCGCACACGGGTGGGATCCGCACGCCTCCTGGGTGACCCACCTTGCGCAGCGCCGTGGCCAGCTCCCCTCTCGTGAAGTTCGCCACCGCCTTGGTGCTGAGAGGGATGCCATTCCTGAGGGCATACAGGCGCACGTTGGCGATCACGAACTCGCTGAAGTTGACACGGTCACCCGCCTCGCCACTGATCGCGAACAGCTTGTGGGAGTCTATCGGGACCAGCTTGTCCTCATCCGACTTCATGGTCACTATACTTTGCGCCGCATTTGTATCGCTGCACACCATCACAAAGTCCTTGCCGCGGAGTCCTGAGAAAGGGGGTGGGAGGGGTGCCAGGTAAGGTCACTACCGAAATGAGACACCCTTGCGGCAGCTCCCGAGGAATCCGGGAGGGGATGAAGCAGTCTGTATACCTCTTTTTACTTGATATAGAATCTGATCACACCTGCAAGGAAGTCCATGATGGCGATCTGCCACCCGTGCACAAGCCCCTAGGAATCCCAGGCTCAGATTCTGATCACTTGATCCTCGCAGCCACTGCGTAATTTGAATCTGTCAATCCTCCAGGACGAGCTCAAGGTGTTGAGCGCATGTGTGCGCGGCGGGTGGGGAAGGTGCATGACGGGATCGGGAGGGCCCTTGGAGAACTCCGACTTTCTTCTCCCGACATGTCGGACCCAGCTGGAATGCAGGTGCACCTCCCGACAACATATCAGGCGGAAGGATGGTCAACCTCCCAGCATTCAGTGCAACAACGTACGAGCACCGCCGTGTAGGGCAGTTGATCAAGGTCAAGCACCCCGTTTCGTCACTAGCCCAGCCACCAGTTACTCGCTTCAGCCTGCCTCTCCAGCCCCTTCCGTCGCGCACCATGGAGACCCCACGGCGGGTGCCTCGTGGTCCTTTCATCATGCCGGATGGCACATCCCTGGCCGCCTTCATGCGCGCCGAGGAGCCTGTGACCCGGCCCAAGCGCAGCAAGCCGCAGGCCCCCTCCCGCGAATGGGTGTCCGACTGGCTCACCACCTCCGGCTCCCAGCCCCCCTCCATCCCCGAGCTGGACGCGCTGCAGAGGATTGGTCAGAGACGGCAGCGGCGCTGGCTGAACAACCGCCTGCTCCTGGCCCTGGCGGGGCGGCTGACCGCGGCCGACATCGAGGGCCTTTTCAAGCCGGTGCCCTTTGGCGCGCCGCGCCCACCCACGGTCTGGGAGACGCTGGCGGAGGAGCGGTACGGGGCGTTGCGCGAGTCCCTGCGCAGCCTGGACCCCGACACCCAGGCGGACCTGCTAGCGTCGCTGGCAGAGGCAGGCGCCGCCCGCGACGACGGCGAGGCCGGCGAGCCCCGGCTCAGCGTGCAGGGCGCGGGCCAGCGCGCCTGGTGCAGGGTCGCGCGGCGCGGCAGGGCTGCGCTGCGCCAGCCCGTGGCGGCCGCCGTGGTGGCCGACATGGAGGACAGCATCGGTGGCTTCCTGGCCCAGCCCGGCGCCGGGGACGAGCTTGTGTTTGAGGGGCTGGATAGCTTCGGGCGCCTCCTCTGTCACAGCCTGGCGGAGTTCCACGGTCTCAGCTCCACGAGCCGGGCGGACGGGCTGGGGGCCAAGGCGGTGGTGCTACGGCGCGAGGGCCGCGGAGACCACCCCGCCCCCTCCTGCACAGCCCTCCTGCTGATGATGCAGGGGGGGCCGGGAGGCTCGGGGACCCCTGACAGCCAGGGTTTCGCGGCAAATGCAGAAGCAGGACGCTCCTTGGTGTACAGGCCTGCCGTCCTGGCGGCATGAGCCGCCTGGATTGAGCTTCCACATGTGCCATACTGTACCCAAGTCATGGGCCCCTCCTGTACACCGTCCTGGGAAGCCAGGCTGCGCCGTCGCAATTTTTGGTGGAACGTCAAACAACCCTTCATACAATCCCTTATGTAAACACAATCAGTACTGTGGACAGGTTCTCAGGTGATTCATCACCAGATGTGACATTCTTTGAGGGGCCCCAAGATCGCCTTGAGCAAGGCGCGATGGAGTCTTCCGTACTCGATGCAGGCCGTACCCTCTACATCATTGCTGAGTTCTGACACTTTTATTCCTCTTGAAAATGCACACAATGGCACCCTGATTCAGGCATCGGCCTGCTCGGTCGTGGCGTCGACATGGCCTCCGTGTTTACGGGCCTGAGCTCGCTCCGGAAGAAGGAAGAGAGGCCGAGGGAGGAGACGGAGGCGTCCAAAGCCCTCAACCAATACCTGGCCCAGAAGTACGGAGCTGGAAGTAATGGGGCGGCTGAGAAGCCGCGCAAGAAGAAGAAGAAGAAGGCTGCCCCATCGGCCAGCGCCGTCCGTGTTGTGGACCTGGATGTCACGGGTTATCATGACCTGACGGGAGAAGGGGCTGCCCCGGGCCCTATGAGGCCGACCTATGACAGCGACGAACCGGCGGAGGAGGCCATCGACGAGGAGGGTGAGCTTGGAGGGTAAGGCTTGCCTTGATACACCTGCAGCGTCATCTGGTTGTTAAGGATCTTGCACAGACCGACCGTCGCGCTCCTACCGAGTCCAGCATCCACCTTCGCCCTCCCCATCTGAACAGAGGGTCCTGTGATTGCAAATCCCGAGGAAGCCGCTCGCCTGCAGAGGATTGCAGAACAGGAGCGTAACTTCTACGAGCAAGCTGGGGATGGCAGTGGCTGGCAAGCCATCAATGCTACGGCGGGCGGCGCCGCTGCAGACAGTTCTCCCCCAAGGAGACGACCTGCAAGGCACGACAGCCCTGACGCCTCACCTCCAAGGAGTAGAGTAGCGAGGCATGACAGCCCAGACGCTTCTCCTCCGAGGAGAGCAGCAGGGAGGCACGACAGCCCAGACGCCTCGCCTCCAAGGAGAAGAGCAGCGAGGCATGATAGCCCAGACGCTTCTCCTCCGAGGAGAGCAGCAGCAAGGCACGACAGCCCAGACGCATCGCCTCCAAGGAGAAGAGTAGCGAGGCATGACAGCCCAGACGCTTCTCCTCCGAGGAGAGCAGCAGGGAGGCACGACAGCCCAGACGCCTCGCCTCCAAGGAGAAGAGCAGTGAGGCATGACAGCCCAGACGCTTCTCCTCCGAGGAGAGCACCGGCCAGGCACGACAGCCCAGACGCCTCACCTCCAAGGAGAAGAGTAGCGAGGCATGACAGCCCAGACGCTTCTCCTCCGAGGAGAGCAGCAGCAAGGCGCGACAGCCTAGACGCCTCACCTCCAAGGAGGACGGGCCTGGAGAGCCGTGGGGATCCTTCTTTGCCCATGCTGCCTGGCCGGGAGAGTTCCCGCCTGCAGCAACGCCCTCGACAACCTGGCGCTTCTGGGCCCCATCAGGAGGAGCCGGGTGCACACAAGATGTCAGATGGCACTCGGGCTGGCATGGTGTCAGGTGTGTACTGGGCTGCGCGTGAGGGTTGGGACTTCGACCTGGGAGTTTGTACCTTGATTCCAGATGCACAGGCCCACCGGGATCACCCCACTTTATACTTGGGTACCGTGTCTGGACTCCTGACTGCGACGCATGGCACTTGGGATCCCACAACCGCGTCCAACGCCACCCTTTCCAACCGCTGGGCTCAGGGCGTGACGTGGCGCACGAGATGGCGCTGAAGCGGGAGGCGGAGGCGCGGCGTTTCGCGGCCATGGGCGAGGATGCCAGCGGGCGCGGCGCGCAGACCGTGTACCGCGACGCCACGGGGACACGGGTGACGCGGGAGGAGTTCGTGGAGGGACAGCAGAAGGCGCGGAGGAAGGCGGAGTACGAGGAGGAGGGCAGCCTGGCCTGGGGCGGCGGCCTGAAGCAGCGGCAGGAGGCGGAGGAGCGGGCGCAGGCGATGCGCGAGGAGGCCTCCAAGCCCTTTGCCAGGTGAGGGCCTGGTGGTGTGGTATTGTGTGCTTGTGGGGAGGAAAGGGGGGGGGGCGGGAGGAGAGTGGTACTGGCACGCTGCGCCAGGGTGCGTGGAGGCGGTGCAGGAGGTGTGCGGCTGCGCAGCGGGACGGCGCTGGCTCACAGCAGGCCAGCCTCATCGCACCGGAGAACGACTGCCTGAGGCGCAACCGCGCCGGCGTTTCCCAGTCGTCACGCACCACCCCTTGCCGCCCACTGTCAGGTCCCGCGACGACGCCGAGCTGGACGGCGCGGCGCGCGCCGCGTTGCGGTGGGGGGACCCCATGGCGCACCTGGTCAAGCGCGGCGCCGCCGACCTGGAGGCCCTTGCCCCCGCCCTGGACGCGGCGCTGCAGGGCTCCGGCTTCCTGGTGCCCCCAGGAGGTGCCGCCCCACTCCTGGCTGCGCCGCGGCCTGGGCCCGCCGCCCTACCGGTACGGCATCCGGCCCGGGCGGCACTGGGACGGCGTGGACCGCTCCAACGGCTTCGAGGTGGACATGTTCAAGCGCAGGAACGAGCTGAAGCGACGCGGGCAGGAGGCCTTCCAGTGGGCCCAGGAGGATATGTGAGGGCGGTGCTGCTGGGAGGGTGGGGGCCCCGAGGCCTCTCACTCCCCTGCAAAGATGGATACCCTGGCGGGCCTGCACGCCCGCGCGCGTCTCGACAGCCCTGCTGCATGCGCCCTTGCGACCCTCTGTGACTTTGCCGGGCCCAGCCTCGGGATGTCTGATGTATTCCTCTGGACCGCAAGCCGTGCAAGGAGGGGCATTGTTACACCGGCTCTGGCCGCTCGTCGGCCGAAACAGCTCACGTACCGGCGCGCGCGCGAATACCGCGTGCACCCTGTTGGCCAGTACAGTGATGACCAGAGTCCCTGCCCTCTCGACCACCCAATGCGTGTAATCCATGTGACGTCATGTCCAAGAAGCGCAAGGGCAGGGCCCGTGCCCGGCGGCGGGATCGAGAGCCGAGTGGGGATGTCGCCGAGGAGTTGCTGGCCCTGCAGGCAATATACGGGGAGGACCTGGTGCCCCATGCCGACAGCATGGGGTTCTCCCTGGTCATAGTACCCCATCCGGGACAGGCGGCAGTGAACACCGTGTCCCTGCGCCTCATCGTCAGGCGAGTCTCGGGACCCTCGCCGCATGGGGTTTTGGGCGAGGTCGGCACTGAATGCACGGGCGCCGCTTCTTGCTTGCGCACCGCACCTGCCTCCTTCCCCTTCCTCGCTCCATGCCCAGCTGACCGTTGGCCCCCATTACACACTCCCAGCTACCCCACTGCCTACCCCGATGGAGCCGTGGAGCTCAGGCTCAAGGACGCCCAGGGCCTAGAGCCGCACCACCTCCAGGCCCTCACCAAGACGCTGCTCTCCCTGGCTCGCGAGCGTGCCTCTGAGGGGGCCATCGCGGGGTTCGACCTCATCCAGGCGGCGCAGGAGATGCTGCAGGGCCTGAGCAAATCCGGGGTGGGCACCGGGGAAGGGCTGGACTCTGAGTCCGGGCGGGGCCCCTCGCCAGGCCCTGCGCCACCCGTGCAGGAGCCGGGCTTGGCCGCGGCCTCGGAGCCGGCAGCGTCCTCCCCGCAGCACCCCTTCGAGCTGTTCGACTGGGCGGACGGCGACCTCTTCTCCACCTCGCTCTTCGACGGGCTCTGGGAGGGAGCGGCCGCAGCCCAGGTCCCCCTGCACCCACCGGCGCCCAGCCCCCCGCGCCCCGGGCGCGAAGCCCAGAGCCCTCAAGTGCGACCGTGTGCCTTGGGTGCAGCCCTTACTTGTGTCGTCTGTCTGCTTGAATCTTGGGTCGGCATGGCGCGGGAACCGAAGGTTGGGATGTGTAGGTGAACGGTTGGCACGTCTGCGATGGACAGCCTCTGCGCCAGACCCTGCCACAGCCCTTACACCCAGCCAGCTTCACTCATAACTGCGCTCTGACGCCAGTCTCCTGCATACAACTCCTAGGTGGCCGCTGCTGAGCCCCGGCCGGCTGCGAAGGAGCCTGGGGAGGGTGCACCAGAGGCGGGCGGTCCGCTGCCGTCGCAGCAGCTAGCGACGGAGAAGCAGGACCAGCGGCCACCGGCGCCGTCGTCCAGCCGTGCAGGCTCGCCCTCACAGCCCCAACACCACCGAAAGGCGAGCAGGGCCTCGGAGCCGTCCTCCTCCTCGGCCACGGAACGCTCGCGCGGTGGCAGCATGCTGGCGGCGATGCGGTCCGGCATCTCGGCCCTGGGCAGGGCCATGCTCCCCCGCCAGCTGCGCCACCTCATCGACGGTGGGGCCGGGAGGAAAGGAGGGGGGGGGG